CAAAGCTGTGCGGAGCTGAGAAGGGCTGCCCTTGGGTGGTGAGTTCCCTGTCAATTGTGGCATTCAAGCTGAACAGCTTGGGGGCTGATACAGAGAACTTCAAGGGGACTCAAGTCCAGGCCAGAGAGGTGTGGGGAGAGGAGTGAGAACTCACTAAGGCCCACCCCAACCTGAGGCCTTGTCACTCAGCTTCACCCGGTACGGGCACTGGGTTCTTCTGTTACCCGTGCCTGGCTTTGCATCACTTCATCTGCATCATCACGGCCTGGCGTTGGCCCAGGCAGTCCATGTGACAAACCCCCATTTCACAGGCCAGGAACCTGGGGCGTAGGTGCCCCTGCTCCTGGGGCCTAACCCCTGAGCCTCGGCCAGGGTGATTCTGGATCCGACCCTGCACGGCTGTCAAGGCCAACTCAGGACAGGGGAGCCCAGGCCTGGCCTGCCCCCTTGGTGTGGGTGACAGGGATCTGGCTCTGCTCTCCCAACCCCAGACGAGGCTTCCTTTCCTCTCCTCGTCTGTGCTGGCCGCTGCTCACACAGCATCTGAACCCCTGGGTGATCTCCCTGGGGAGGGGTGGCCCCTTCACGCACTCAAGCAGAGACAGGAGCCAGGGACCGAAGATGGAAAGTGCCTCTTCCTGGGCCTGTTCTGATGTAAAACTGCAGAACTCAGAATTAAACAGGTGCTTGACATCCCAGAGCAACACAGCGCAATTAAGCTATTCTGGGGCCGGAGGGCACTTAGGCATTTTGTGAGTTTTTATTGCTCGAGACAATGAATAATATATAAGTCTGTACAGTCTCAATTCAAACGATGACTCACGTGTCACATTTCAATCTAACCCGTGTTTTAATGTGATCCTCCTAGACTTTAGAAAGCCAGACCAGCCCTGACTTCTTGGTAATTAAAGTTTGGATCTTTTAGGGAAATACTTCTCGAAGGGTGGAACACGGACCACTGCTGGTTCCTGGTCCATGAAGAGATAAGTACAGAAATGGAGAGTAAATGCTTAGAAACCTTCAGAGCAATTTAACGAGTGATTTTATGTGGGCTGAATCTAATAATAAAAGTTTGAGCTTGTATTTTATATGTTCATTTTTTGGTTCATTTTTCTAGTAATTTAACTGTATTATGTTTTATGAAAGTATTGATTTGCAAGAAGTTAGAAATTTAAAATAAGAACCCACAAGCTCTGTCCTTCCCCACAGACTGTCTGAATGCTCGGGTCCAAGGCCACGGCCCTTCCTGCTCACCGCCACCAGGCTGCCGGGCGCAGAGTTCACGCCCATACAGGGCGTTTCATTCGCTGCGGGACTCTCTGTGCCTGGCGCGTGCTGGGCTCTTGTCTGTGTGACCCCCTAGCTTGTGACCACAGCTGACCTCCTGGCCCCATGGTGTCCTCCCAGGGCTTGTAGACCAGTGACCGAATCGGGGTGCCTGAGCTCAAAGCCTGACTTTGCCACAAAGTTGTAGGGTGACCTTGGGCAAGTCACTTCCCTCTTTGGGTGTCAGGTTTTTCATCATTTTAAGGGTGCTTCCGGTTCTCTCATTGTGGGACTCCAACACTGGCTCTGGGGACCACTGAGATGCCCATCTTACACAGTGAAATCAAGGCCAGAGTTCTAACCAAGCTTTCATAGCACGTGGAAGGCAATTTCTTAATCTAGACACAGAAGAGTCACTGGCATCCAGCACTCATATTTTCTTACAGCTCTACTAAGGTTTAATTTAACACAAGCTGTACACATCTGAAGCGTCAACTGTGGAGAGTTATGACATATGCCTTTACCTGGGAAGCTGTCATTGCAATTAAAATATTGAATATCTCCATCTTTCCCAAAAGGTTCCGTGGGCCTCCTCAAAATCCACTTTCTCCCTTACTTCTGACCCCCAGACAACCACCGATCTGCTTTCTGCCACTATATAGATGACTTTGCGTTTTCTAGAATTTTATACGAGTAGAATCATACAGTATGCACATTTTTTGGTCTTTGTTTTACTCAGCATAATGATTTGGGATTTATCCCTGTGGTTGCATGCATCCGTAGTTTGCCCCTTTTATTGCTGAACAGTACTCCACTGCATGGACATACCACACCGTTTTTATCCTTTCAGTAGTTGATGATAAACATGAGGGTTGTTTCCAGCTTTTGCTATTACAAATAAGGCTGCTATAAACATTCCGAAACAAAGTCTCTCTGTGAACATGGGCTTTCATTTCTCTTGGATAAATATGTAGAAATTGAATGGCTGGGTCATAAGGTAGGTATATGTGAAACTTTTAAAGAAATTACCAAACTGTCTTCTTTTTTTCTTTAACATCTTTATTGGAATATAATTGCTTTACAATGGTGTGTTAGTTTCTGCTCTATAACAAAGTGAATCAGCTATACACATACACACGTTCCCATATCTCTTGTATCATTTTACAATTCCATCGGCCTTGTATGAGAAATCCAGTTTCTCTATATCCTTGTCAACACTTGGTACTACCAGCCTGAAATTTTAGCTGTTCTAGTGAATACATAGTGGTATCTCCTTGTGGTTTTAATTTGCATTCCTCTGATGACTAAAGTTGAACATCTTTTCATGTGCTATTGATCACTCATAAATCTTTTGTAAAGTGCCTGTTAAATCTTTTGCCCAATTTTAAATTGAGTTGAGTTGCAAGGATTCTTTATATATTCTGGATAGAAGTCCTCTGTCTGACATATGTGTTTGCAAATATTTCCTCTCAGTCCCAATATGTGGTCTTTAGTTTTGTGAGTGTATACAATTTCAAGGAGTTTTACAGCCCTCTATTAGGTCATCCATGAGTCTGAGTCTTTGCCCTGGACACCGGTGCAGAACATCAGCTCTAAGGTTTCAGGTCTGGCCAAAAGAGAATGATGCGGGTCCCATAACAGAAACAGGTCCAGTGAAGGTGGAGTACTTTTTGTGAGTAAGACAGTGTGTGTAGTCAGTTGAGTTTTAGGAGTTGGGAGTAAAGATAAACGAAAAGGTTTAGCAGAAAATGGATGAATGAGATTTCCACCCTCCCTACCTACTGTCTGGAGAAACTACAGCCAAGGGACTGGGCTTGCTGGAATCATCAAGGAAGAGCTGGTTGATTCTGCTGAGAGAAATGCAAATCAGGTTGCTAGAGGTGGGACGTATTCCTGGTTGAAGGCAGGACACTGAGTGAGTCCCCCATCTATGGATCAAGAGAGGATGGAGAAAGAAGAGACTGGGGACTGAAGAACGAGGGAGTGAATACCCCAACCAGAGAGAGGATGAGAAGGAGACCTGGAAGACAGACCGGGAGCCGGGATTGCTGTATTTGGCTTTTGTGACGTTGGCCAGGGACACATGTGCAAAAGTGGACTTGAAGGAAATGAAAGAATCTCCAGTGAAATGCGTAAGAGAGGGGATGAGATACTTGGGAGGAGGAGAAGAGGGTGGGGAAGGTCTTTTGCCCACGGGACAGGCAGGAGTGGGGACGAAGACCAGGGAGACTGGGAATTCGAAAGGGCGGAGGGATGAATTTGAGCAGCTGCTGTGAAATGTGCATTTTGGGAAAGAGAGCTGCTACTAGACGCCTGGTGGCAAGTTTTGATGTGAATCCAGTGTTATCTCTTCAAGAAAACTTCCAGTAAAGACCTCTGATGCACCTCAGAGTTTCTGGACTGGGATCTGTATTTATTCCGAATGCAACAGCAGCTGAGGCTGGCCTCAAGGCAGCCCTGTGTTTTTGTTTTTGTTTTTTTTTTTTTGCGTTACACAAAGCTTTGATGGTGAGTAGCTCAGAGACCTTGTCTATCTTGTTCTTTGTTTAGCAAGTGCCGGCACTTCCTCTGTTCTCATCAAATGTTGGTTGAATGTTATTGTAAAAAGCCTGTCATCCTGTATTGTCCGTGGGATAAGTGCAGGGGACCAGCTATCTCTAAAGGCGGCAGGAAGCCCTGGTCTCCAGGTTAGATACCTGTGCCCCATCTTCATCTTTTCTTCTCCACGTGACCACATGCCCTTTCTTATGTAGATTATTCAGTCCTTTCACTGTCCACAGGTTTGCTTATGTCCCCATTACCCTGCTCACCCCAGCAATCCAAGCTAACCATTTCCATCGTTAACCTTGCTCGAAGAGATGACTGCAGACCGCAAACAGCTTAAAGCACAGAGACTTCTGGAGTGCTACAGGAATTGTAGAACGTTAGCAACATTGAACACTGGGCTTCCCTTCAGTGAGATTTGTCACTCTGTCATTTCCTGTCCCATGCTGGCTTCCCTACCACAGTGCAAGCTCCAGAGAGACATTCACCATGCCTACCCGATCATAGTGATATGCCCGGACCTAGGGGCACTGTAGGTGCTTAATGAATGTGTGTTGACTGAGTGGCTTATTGACGGATGGCTTCCATGTTCCCTGTGGAAGAACCTCAGTCTAGAGGAGAAGGAGGAGCCTCCTCCGCTGTTCCATTGCTCTTCCAGGATCCAGGATAAAGAGCTGAGGTGCTCTCGCTACATGCGTACAAATGAGAAATCATGGGTTTTTACTCTGTAACTTTCTCTAGAGATTCCTTTGACCAAGGAGGACACAAAATTTGAACAAGTGTGACCAAATTCCTCAAAGAGTGAGTGATACCTGAACCCAGGTATCAGACCTGTGGGTCAGTGTCCTTGCCTTGGACAGTGTCCAGAGGCAGGGTGGCCCAAGGGCTCAGTCCACCTCCATCTAGACCAGACTGGTTTGGCGTGAATACAGCCCCACCTCCTCAGAGCCCTGTGACCTTGGGCCTTGGTTTCCTCAGTCTGTAAACAAGGCCCAGTGGTAGTACCTATTTCATAGGGTTACTCTGACTGAGGGGGGTTGACACTGAGCAGGGCCCCGTGGGGCTCCTGGGCACAAAGCCTTTCTGTGTCCCCCATTTCTTTGATTACAGGAAATAGGCTTCATTCAGCCTCCATGACCTTCCCTGAGTTCCAACGGGCAGATTCAAGTGGTTGTTAATCAGGGAAGGGAAGGGATGGGAGACAAGGGAGGAGCAGTCAAGAGAAACAATAGTGCCGCCTTGGGGCAGGTCCTGGTTCCCCATCAATGGACACAACAATATCTATGAGCTGTTTTGCAGATACCCCCTCCAGGTAGGAAAAGTTAACAGTTAACGATGGTATGCTTCCCACAAGCATGTAGACCCCCTGACCAGTAGGAAGCAGAAGGTTGATGATGCCGACTCCCAATTACCTCACCACCAACCAATCAGAAGAATGTCCACAAGCTGATCACACCTTCTTTGAACCATTACTATAAAGCTTCTCCAAGGGGGGTGCAGTTTTTGGAGGTGCTAGCCTGCTGTGTTCCCTCTTTGCCTGGCAAAGAAATAAAGCTATTCTTTCGCTTTCCTCCTCAATTCTGTCTCCGTATTTCTATTTGGCATGGGTGTACAGAAGCCGAGATTTCAGCAACAAGATCTTAATACGTATAAGAGTATTTACAAGGACGGTTGACGTGTGGGAAGCATTACGCACATGGCAGCCTTTGTTAACAAGGAGGGTTCCATGGTGTGTGTTCTGCCTGCTCCTCGGGGAGCCTGGAGGCCAGGGAATCTGAGACATTCCGGACTTCAGCAGCAAGGGAGCAGTGGAATTAGAAGCCAGGCCACTTGGGCTCCTGGGGTGCCCTGGGGTCTCCAACATGTCTACCCCTGAAACCGAGTGGGGCCTGGGCACGGAGGCCTCTTTTTGTCCCCCGTTTCTTGTAAGCAAGACTCCAGCCTCCATGACCTTCCCTGAGTTCCAAAGGGAAGATTCGAACAGTTGCTAATCAAGGAACCACCTGAGGCGAGATTAAAGGGACCAGAGAAGCCCATCACGATTAGGAGACGGACCAGCTGAGACCCTGCACACACCCTCATCTTGTCAGCAACCCCGCCCTTGAAGTACTGTTATAAAACTCCTCATCACATCCTCCTGGGTGGGGACACATAGTTTTTCGATTTAGGAGCCCACTGTGTCCCCTTTTGCCTGGCAAAGTAATAAAGCTATTCTTTTCTACTTCACCCAAAACTCTGTCCCCGAGATTTGATTCAGCACTGGCGCACAGAGAAGCTGAGCTTTCGGCATCACCCCCCTGCTCCCATCCACATTCTTAGCACTGTTCAGTCCGAGGGAACGCCTTCCCTTCTCTGAGCCTCGGCTTCCTCATCTGAGCAGTGGGAGTGGTCCTCTCTGCCCTGCTACCTCTACAGGCAAAAGGGATGGGTGAGAAGGTGCTTTTCAACAGGAGGGGTAAAAGGTTTCACAGTTACTTTCCAAACGAGCGAGCTGTGTTCGGGCGGGGAGGGATGGGGAAAGGATGCCAGCAGAGCTGTGAGTTGCAAATGCTCCTCCTGTGAGAAACTGCCGAGAATCTGCTTCTTAGGAAACCAGGTGACCTCGAGTGGCGGCCAGCAGTCCACTTCATGGGCTCCATCTGCGCCCACAGCGGTCGTGGCAGAGCGCCCAGGCCGGCGACACCGACACCCGGGCAGCCGGGAAGAGGGGGTGACATCTGCGCGTGGGCGGAAGCGGTGCGGCATTTATATTTGGAAAACAATATGCATTTGTCAGGGTTTGCTCTTTCTTTTCTAAATTCAGAACATTTGGGGAGAGAACAAGAGAGAGGAATATTGATTTCCGCTCCGGGAGAGGATGATGGATGGCAGAGACGGCAGGAAACACGGACACTTCCTCACCTACCCCTCCCCATCGACTCCATCTCCGCCGCCGCCTGGCTGCCGCGCCCCTCGCCTCCTTCCCTGGCTTCTGATCTGCTCTCACTCTCTCCCTTTCCTCCCTCGCGGCCAAAATGAAGTTGCCTCCAGGGTTAGAAGGAAAAACTCCACATGCCCCACCCCACTGGACCCCTAGAAATTTCACCGAGGTGGAAGACCCCTGAAACTTGTTGGGTTTATTTCCCACCCCCAGGCTTTTTTTTTTATTTTTATTTTTTTGCGGTACGCGGGCCTCTCCCTGTTGTGGCCTCTCCCGTTGCGGAGCACAGGCTCCGGACGCGCAGGCTCAGCGGCCACGGCTCACGGGCCCAGCCGCTCCGCGGCATGTGGGATCTTCCCGGACCGGGCACGAACCCGTATCCCCTGCATCGGCAGGCGGATTCTCAACCACTGCGCCACCAGGGAAGCCCAGGTGCTACTTCTTGCTCACTAGGTCCAGTCAGCATTACGTCATAAGTGTAATGCACCAGTGCGCTATCGTGTGCAAGTGAATGGGGTCTTGTGATCAAGATCCCTGCGAACTAAACTATGACATAGGCCCGGAGAGTTGATATCCACCTGAGGTGGGACAGTAAAGGTGTAATGCTGGCCTTGTCAGCAGAGAACAAACTGCTTCTGGTGGATCTCACGGACAGGAATGCAGAAACAGGCATTCTTTCAGATCAAGAGCTGCATAGCGGATACTGGAAGAGATGTGTCACTTTACTCAAGCAATGAAATCACATCTGATACAGCAGCTGGAATTGGAGTCGCCACCTTGGCAAGCTTACAATAATCCTCTGTCATTCTCAAAGACCCGACTGTCTTCGGCCGCGGCCAGATGGGAGAGCTGAATTGGGGATGTGGTGGGAATCACCGCCCTAGGGTTTTTTAAGTACTTGATGATTGCACTAATGTCTGCAATCCCTCCAGGAATGCAGGGCTGCTTCTGTGGTTGACTATTTTCCTAGGTAGGGGCAGTTCTAGTTGCTTCCACTTGGCCTTTCCCATCATAATATCTCTTACTCCGCAGAGAAGGGAACCAGTGAGTTCAGAGTCAGCGTCCAGTAGTCCCTAAAAGGTCTGATTATTTCCTCTTCCCCAATGCACAGTTGGCAAAAGCCCGTGGGTCCTTTTGGGGAAGGCTGGGAGAGTGATTAACAGCATAAATATTCCATAGTGTACTAGGGTCCTTCATTCAAGGGGTTCTGAGTCTATAAAGTGGCTCCAGTCTGAGAATTAACAAGCCATGACTCTTGTTTTTATCATTCAAGTTATACTCTTGTTCACTTGACCTATTTTCTGCTTACACAGAACAAGTAAGAATTAGTAGGCTTCCTGTCTGTTTCACTTCTAGGAACCCCATGACGAGCTAGCCAATGCCATCAGTCTGCAGGACTAAAGGCCATTCTGATTGCGGCATTGACCCTGCTGTCAGTCACAGGGACCATTCCCTCCTTGCCTTCGGGGCTTGAGTGCCACCTCTGGTCCCTGCCACCACGGGTCCAATCACTCTCATTGTGGTTACGTGTCCCAATTCCGTGACTGCAGTTCCCTCTGTGAAGTCTGGCCCACAGAGAAGAGCCAGGGATGCCAGGGCTTCCCTCTCAAGTTTATCTCTCACAGTCGTGGTGAAAGGCATGCCTTCTGGTCCTTCCCAGGGTGGGTGAGTTTCAAATGACAAACTCACTCGAACATTCCCGTCCCCCTAAGTCATGGAATCCCTTTCTCTACATTAACCCAAAGCAGGTCTGGCAATTCTAATTCACTCACTGTGGGTCTCCTTTTGGCCATATTTCAGCCAAGCAGCGAAGCAAACTGTTAGAGCCCTTCCTTCCTCCCCAAGATGCAAAGTTAGATGCAGAATCCCTGCTTAGTGAGCCCGTGGCAATAAATGCCGCCCGATCCAACTTTCCGTTCCTTCCACGATTTATCCCGCAGCCTTAATACCCATCCCCACACGTGTGGCCCGGGTTTCTATCTGCAGGAGTTAGAAAACGCAGAGGGTAGTGCACCTCCTCACGGGTCACGCTTTGTACCTCACTTTAGGGGCTGCTGGGACTTGAGTCTGCTCAGAGGTCTAGACGCCGAGAGCGGTGGTGGGGTCGACACTGGGGAGAACCAGCCATGTCTTGCTTGTCAGCTGCCTCAGGGGCGGTCATTACCCTTTCCGCAGGTAACGCAGGGTTAACACCCTGGGACAGGCGGGGGTGGAGAGGCCGCTTCTCCTGGGGACAGAGAGACTGCTGCCGCTGGCAGAGGAGATGCATCAGAATTTAGGGTTCAAGTTCCCCAGCTCCATCAGGGTCTTCCCACACACCCCCATTCCAACTTGCAGGATCCCATTCCTTCCCAGTCCGTGGCCTGGGTTTAGCAGGAGACACCCTGGGAGGCTGGGAGTTCAACTCGCATTGTAATTCAGTCAGTCACAGGGGGAGACTGCGGGTCTGATTTTCAGCCTCTCAGCCCTGTGGCTACGGCGGGTAAGAGTCTCGTTCAGGGCAGACATAGAAGCTTTCAGGTCATTTACGGGGCCTTGAGCTAGGAATTCGAATCCCTGAGCTCAAACTTTTCTTTCCCCACTTTGTCCAGTAACATTACGAGCAACCAGCCAATCTCATCATACTCATCAGTTTGAAAAAAATGTTTGAAAGTATCACACACATGGTCACCCAGATCCTAGCTTCTTACAAGTGTTGGATTAGGAGTTTCCAGTGGTGATACTTTGCTTATCTCTCTTGCCCCGTCACTCCATGGACTGCCAGTGCTCTTTTTACTACTGGAAATAGAGTCATTAGTGTCTTTCAATCTAATCTGACTAGAGAGCGAATTCTAGAAATCACAGCACCAATTCAGAAAATTCATCTTTAAGATTTTGTTTCTCGAGAACCACTCTCGGTCCTAAAATCGGTATTAGTCAGAGCTCTCCAGAGAAAGGTGTAAGGCAGTGTGTGTGTGTGTGTGTGTGTGTGTGTCTGTGTGGGTGTATTTGTTATGAGGAATTGGATCATGTGATTAGGGAGATTGGCAAGTTCAAATCTGCAGTGTGGGCTGGCAGGCTCAACGCCCAGGAGAGCTGAGGGGCAGGTGGAGAGCCAGGAGAGGCAAAAGTTCAGATGAAATCCACGGGCAGTCTGCTGGAGACATGCCCTCTTGCTTGAGGAGGCTGGGCTTTTTGTTCTTTTCAGGACTTCAACTAATTGGACGAGGCCCACCCACATTATGGAGGACAATCTGCTTGTTCAAAGTTCACCAATTTAGGGCTTCCCTGGTGGCACAGTGGTTGAGGGTCCGCCTGCCGATGCAGGGGACACGGGTTCGTGCCCCGGTCCGGGAAGATCCCACATGCCGCGGAGCGGCTGGGCCCGTGAGCCACAACTACTGAGCCTGCGTGTCTGGAGCCTGTGCTCCGCAACAAGAGAGGCCACGACAGTGAGAGGCCCACGCACCACGATGAAGAGTGGCCCCCGCTCGTGGCAACTAGAGAAAGCCCTCGCACAGAAACGAAGACCCAACACAGCCAAAAATAAAAAAAAATAAATAAATAAAGAATAGCATCTATTTTATTATTTGTAGAAAACTAGCCTGAAACACCATGCAGGGCAGAGCAGCACCCACAGCCTGGGGCTGCTGGGCCCCGGGAATTCTGGAGCCCGAGAGCTCTTGGATTTTTGTCTGGGAGACGCTATCGTTTTCTCAGCACTAAAGGGCCTTCCCTCTAACTCAGTCACCTTCTTGATCCAGGAGTGGTAGTTTTCTAACAAGGTGTATATTCCTGGAACATTCTTCTGTCCACAACTCCTTCCCCAGCTGATGATGCCCACCTGGTACCACTTCTTGCCAGATTCTGTGGTACAGACGAGAGGACCCCCGCTGTCACCCTGTGGACAGAGAACACAGATCAGCAGCGAGTCCCATTTGAAACTGTCCACGTGAGGCAGAGCACAGCTCGCTCATGGAAGAGGGTTCATGGACCTCCTGACTCCGGGACGCCAAGGGGAATCACATCATCGCAGATCAACACCCACCCTATCGTGGCTGCACGCGGGGCATGTGCAGCACTCAGCCTGGCCCCAGGAACCATGGTATGTAGAGCGTGGCCATGCACATGCTCCATGCACAGCACACAGAGAAGGAGCCGGAACACGGAGGACCCAGGCTGAGGAAGAGTGGGGACCAGATTAGCGGGTCTTAAATCAGAGGCTCTGGACAGAGCTGTAAAGGGAAGGAATGAAAAGAGGATGCGAGGAGTGCTGTTAGGCCTGTGGATGTGAACTGGGTCTCCTTTTTTTTTTTTGCGGTACGCAGGCCTCTCACCGTTGTGGCCTCTCCCGTTGCAGAGTACAGGCTCCGGACACGCAGGCTCAGCGGCCATGGCTCACAGGCCGAGCCGCTCCGTGGCATGTGGGATTTTCCCGGACTGGGGCACGAACCCGTGTCCCCTGCATCGGCAGGCGGACTCTCAACCACTGCACCACCAGGGAAGCCCTGAACTGGGTCTCCTTTGATGTTCTTCCGGAGGCGTGAGGGAGAAGGATGTCTCTTTTTAATTCTTTGCTGTGGGTATTTGCAGGGGGCAAGTGAGCTAAGCTTTTCTGACTATGTGACCCCTCCAGGGTGGAATCACATGGGTCTATGACTCAGATGATTACCTATTTATATGGAAAGTATGTACCAAGTCCCCACCGTGTCCCTCACACATATATGGCTTCCTTTTGTCCATTTTAATACAGGGAAAATGAAGCTTAAGGAGGATGAAGGGCTTACTCAGGGTTACATGGTGTTGGGGCCAAAGTTGGAACCAGGTCTTCCTGATGCCAAAGCACATGTTCTTTCCCTCTGGGGAGCTATAATTGTTCAAGCGATCTTTCCTTCTTAGCGGAGAGATGGCCTCCTTTTCCATGGTCATCAACAGGACCGGGAATGGGACCTAATGGGAAGGAGGACAATCAACACTTCCTGGACATGATGTCCGAGGCCCGGCGTTGGTCCCCTGACTTTACTTTCTCATCCACCCCTTCATCCCACATCTCTGTGAGGTAGGTATTTTGATCCTCATCTTATAATTAGAAAATGGAAAGTCAGAAGAGATCTGCTCACTTCCACCGAACACATCTTCAAGGAGGAAAAACTAACTGTTAGGCACTTGGGATACAAGACCTTATGGTCTAGGGAGGGAGACAACAGTGCAAACAAACAGGATCAACTGCATTTTGTTTGAAGGATGAATAAGAATTTGACAGGAAGAGTGAGTGGGGGGAACTGATTGGAAAGGAATTAGGCAGGAGGTGGGGGGACTAGTTAAGAGGAGATGGGAGTGATGAGGACCTCAACCAGGGCACAAGACGGTCAGGAGGCAGGGGGGTGCGTTGAAACTGACACGATCTGGGGACTGGTGCCCCTGGACACGGGTGGTGAGTCCTAGTTCCAAGGTCATGGGGTAAAGTGCAGGGGAAGATAACGATGAAATCATGTTCAAGGGGAGTTTATGTTGACTGTGGGACACATCGCCAAGCAGAGGGATATACGGAGTGGAATTAACAGAGAGCTTGGAGCTCAAGGACACCCAGTAAGCGTGGTGCCAAAACCAGAACCACCCTTTCCAGTATGAAACACTGCCCTTAACGCTTGTCTGGTTTTTGTGGGTGTGTGCTTTTCTTTGCGCGCGTTCTACTTCAAGGTCACGGGGCAAGAACCAAATCAATGGGATTGCCACTCAAAGAGCTCCTTCCGTAAGTGCTGTCTCTATCATTTTCTTCACGTTACGGTGGCATGAATGGTATAAAAAGCCTATTAATATGTTGATTGTCATTTCCTTACATAAGAGGGAGAGAACTGTGCTTGGACCAGTAACTTGTAAGCCTCAGTTTCTGCGTCGTTAAAATGGAGATAATACCAGCTACTTCCCAAGATTACTGGCAATGACATTTTTAAAATCTATACATCACTTGGCATAGGGTAAATGCTATGTAGGAAATGCTCCAGAAATGTATTAGTATTATTACTTTAGCCTTATGTACTACAAACATTATTTGTATACTCAGGAAACAGAGATTCCCTTCTCGGACGGCTGGGACTCCAGAGGGGCAGCTGTAAATTCATGTCCTTTCACACACAGAGTCTTAATTGTTTTTCTCTTCCTTTTGGGAAGAAAGAAAGGATGTCTCAAAGGAGGGTCTGGCCTCAGCTAGCAAGGACTTGGGACTGATGACAGCCCACCTAAGGGGAACTTTCTTCCAAAGACTAAGGCTGGTAGCCAGAGACTTGTCTGGTTAGAAACATACTGACCACATACTGACCACAGAGCCTCCTAAGTTCACTTCTGTGTTATTCACACCGCGTGATCACTTCTGTCCATTTTGGGTGAGAAGCAGATGACCTGGCTTCCAGCCTGGCCCCACTACCTCCTGGACCTCAGGCAAACCACTTAAATTCAAAATCCCTGTTTTCTCATCTGTTAAACGGGGCGAGTGAGACCTGCCCAGCCCATCTTACAGGATAGTGGAGAGAATGAAATGACTGAATATGTGTGAAAGAGCTACGAAGTTATTACACTGCTTTGGATCCATTCAGACAGTGAAGAGAATGATCGATGATTAAAATAACCATGTTTTCTCATCTGTGAAACAGTTGCAATTAAATATTTTTATACATTTCTTTCTGGCTCTAGAGGTCTAAGATGCTATGGAGTGAAATAAGATTTTCAGGCAAGTGTCATGGGTCAAGATGGGTTCAAGATAATACCCTGGAAAGTAGCCCAGGACTGTGAAAACGCTCTGTGTGATAGTATTCGTGATGGCGCATATCATTATACACTTGACCATAGAATGGACAACACCAAGAATGAACGCTAACATAAACTATGGACTTTGGGTCATTGTGATGTGTCAATGTAGGTTCATCAGTTACAACACATGTACCGCTCTGATGGGGACGTTGATGGTATGGGAGATGATGCATGTGTGGGACAGGGGGTATATGGAAAATCTCTGTATCTTCCTCTCAATTTTGCTATGAACCTAAAACTGCTGCCTCCCCACCCCCATAAAATAAGATCTTTAAAGAAAGTTGTTGCTCAGGTTGTTATCCAAGTCAGCTTGGCATCCCCATAACCAAATTGCCCAACAGCCCAGCTGGCTGCCAGCTCGCTCTCTTTTCTTTTTAAGATTTTTTTTTTGATGTGGACCATTTTTAAAGTCTTTATTGAATTTGTTACAATATTGCTTTTGCTTTATGTCTTGGTCCTTTGGTCACGAAGCATGTGGGTCCTAGCTCCCCTACCAGGGATTGAACCCACACCCACTGCACTGGAAGGCGAAGTCCTAACCACTGGACCACCAGGGAACTCCCTGGCTGCCAGCTCTTAACCCCCCTCCAAGGCAGCCTCCGTCAAGGTCTCTCTCGGATGTCCCCTCCTCTAGGGCTACTGTAACTGACAGGCAGTTTCCAGCTTCCTTGGAAGGTTCAGCTCTTTGGCAAACATTTGTTGAGTGCTCTTCATGCCAAGCACTGTGCTAGGCACTGGGAATCCAGCCATGAATAAGACAAAATTTCTGCTGGAGTTGAGAAGAAAGATAAGAAAACTGTGCAGCATTGCAATGCCTGTTTCTCAGATGCTTGCGGGTCCTTCACAAGAAGTATTGCATTGCTAGCTTGGGACATATTTGATTTTATAGTTTGCTGGACAGTGTCACTTATTTTTTTTAAGTTGAACTTTGTTTTTTCATAGTGTAACCTTAGGGGATTACAAACAGGAAAAGCGCTGGAAAAAGTAAACCACAAAATTCAATTGATTTGATTTTAATTTGTATTTTAAGTACAGCATGATCTTATTGCTATTACTTTGAACATATTTAAATGTTTCCATCATAAAATTATAATTTCCCTTCATTATGTGATTATGTGTTTTATTCAAGTTTGCTAAGTTTAAAAGTGTGATTTTATTTTTAAAGGCAGTTATTTTTAAACCCTAGGGGACTTTCTGCCTGGTTTACCTGGATTTAAGTGATGATAATATTATATAATTTCAGAAAACTTCCCTTGCCTGGATCACTCTCAGCTTATTCTCAGCAATAGAAAGCTTTCTAAACAGAAAGCAAAGCTTTTCACTTCACAATTTTTTTCTTAAAAAAAGGCTTAAAACGATAACAGCACATTTATTTATAGCACTCAAGTAATAGATGATTAATTTTAGCAGCTTTCATTAAAGTACATTTTGATAGGGGAGGGATTGGAGCAAAAATCCTCGACTCCAGATGGTAGATCCAGCCATTGAAGCAAAGGGGACAGAAAATGTCATCAAAGATGACACTTGATTGTTTCAAGTGTTGCTGCAGTTGGTTTTGGCCATTTGAATATGGGATGGTGATGAATGAAAAAGACTGAAAGGATAGGTGTGAATACTGATGAGGGTGAGCAGCCTGGGACAACCTCTAGTCTCCCACGCGTGGCAACCCTGCCCTAGTGACCTGCTCTGCTCACCTCTCCACACTCAACCCTTGTTATCACTGGCTTCTGAAATATTGAAAGTTCCCTGAACACAAGATACTTTTTCAAGCCTCCGTGATTTTCCCCCAATTCTCCCTGGAATGCTCTCTCTTTCCAATCATACTATTAAATGTTGTTTTCCCCTTTTCTTTTTTCTTTTTTTTTCTTTTTTTTGCCATACGCGGGCCTCTCACCGTTGTGGCCTCTCCCGTTGCAGAGTACAGGCTCCGGACGCGCAGGCTCAGCGGCCATGGCTCACGGGCCCAGCCGCTCCGCAGCATGTGGGATCTTCCCGGACCGGGGCGCGAACCCGTGTCCCCTGCATCTGCAGGCGGACTCTCAACCACTGCGCCACCAGGGAAGCCCTCCCCTTTTCAATTGACGTTGGAGCCCTTTGTCTCCTGCTCCAGTATGAACTGGCTACTCCCTAAGTCTGTGGCATGGCTAGGATCTGAGATCTTCATTTAACCATTGCTATTGGGAAGCTTTGTCTTCTCTTTGTTTTTTTAAGTTTGATATAACTGTAGATTCACGTGCAGTTGAAAGAAATAATACAGAGAGATCCCATGTACCCTTTACATGTTTCCCCCGATGATACCATCTTGTAGAACTACATACAGTACAATAGCACAATTGGGGTATTAACATTGATGCAGTCAATACACAGAACATGTCCATCGTCACAAGGATCCCTTATGTTGCCCTTTTAATGCTATATCCACTTCCTTCTACCCCTAAACCCTCCTTAAGCCCTGGCAACCACTAAGCTGTTCTCCCTTTCTATAATTTTGTCATTTCAAGGATGTTATGCAAATGTCCATTGACAGACGAGTGGATAAAGATGTGGTATATATATACAATGGAATATTACTCAGCCATAAAAAATAACAAAAATAATGCCATTTGCAGCAACATGGATGGACCTAGAGATTGTCATACTGAGTGAAGTAAGTCAGACAGAGAAAGACAAATATCATATATTGATTATATGTGGAATCTAAAAAACTGGTACAAATGGTACAAAACAGAAATAGAGTCACAGATGTAGAAAACAAACTTATGGTTACCTGGGGGGAAGCGGGGCGGTAGGGAGGGATACATTGGGAGATTGGGATTGACACATACACATTGCTGCATATAAAATAGATAGCTAATAAGGACCTACTGTAGAGCACAGGGAACTCTACTCAATACTCTGTAATGACCTACATGGGAAAAGAATCTAAAAAAGAGTGGAGATATATATATATATATAAACTGATTCACTTTGCTGTACAGCAGAAACTAACAACATTATAATTCAACTATACTCCAATAAAAATTTTCTAATAAAGAATGTTATGTAAATGGAATCACACAGTGTGGGACCTTTGGGGGTCAGCTTGTTGCACATAGCATGAGTCTCTGGACACATTCACATGGTTGCATGTACCAACAGTTTGCTTCTTGTAACAGCTGAGTGATATTGCATGGAATAAATGCAGTGTATTTAATTATCAGTGTATTTATTTATCCACGTCTTCCAGGACACTTGTTTCCAATTTTGGTCTATTATGAGTAAATCTGCTATAAACACTCCTGCACAGGTTTCTGTGTGAACACAAGCCTTCATTTCTCTGGAATAAACGCCCAAGAATGGCATTTGCTGGGTTATACGGCAAGAGCACGTTCAGTTTTTAAAGAAACTATAAAATTGTTTTCCAGAGTGATTAGACTATTTTAAACTCCCCCAAGCAATATACGAGTGATCCAGTTTCTCTACATTCTTATCAGCATTTGGTGTTGTTACTATTTTTTATTTTTTAATTTTAGCCATTCTGAGGTGTGTAGTGATACCTGGTTGTGGTTTTAATTTGCATTTGCTTGAATGGTTAATGATGTTGAACGTCGTTTCATTTTCTTATTTGCCATCTGTATATCCTCTTCAGCCAAATGTCTGTTCTTGTCTTTTGCCCATTTTTGAATTGGATAGTACGTTTCTCTACAGTTGACTGCAAGAGTTCTTTATAGAGTCTAGGTATAGTTTCTTTGTTGGATATTATCTCCCAGTCAGCAGCTTGTCTTTTCATCCTCTTAATATGGTCTTTCATGAAGGAAAAGGTTTTAATTTTGATGAGGTCCATTTGATCAATTTTTCCTTTTATGAGTTGTGTTTTTGGTGTTACTCTATGTCCCAAAGACTTTCTATTTTCTTTTTCTAAAAAAATTTTGTAGTTTTACATTTAAGTGCATGATCCATTTTGTTTTAATTGAATTTATTCTAGGAATTAATGGTTCTCAATTTTTTAAAAAAGATTCTTTACTCAGATTTTTAGCTTTATTTTTCCTTATCCTATGTGGATTAATACATGGAATCCATGTATATTAGTGAAACCCTCTACTCTATTACAGATCCTGTCTTGAGTAATAGGTTATGAGACTTGGGTTCTCACATGAATCTTCTGTTTTAACAGGCCTCTTATGAAACTGGAGTCAGGGAAGGGGGATGCCAACTCCTTTCCACTGAATTGGGGTGGAAGTCTTGACTCACCACTCAGGCCAGCTATGACACCAAGGGGAGGAGCAGGGTGCCGCTACCACTGGGTGGGAGCCCAAGCTCTTCAGGTGGCCTCCACTGACATTGAGGGGGACAGGGGATGGATCATTATGACTAGATTGTACTTAAAGTCCTGGCTTTCCACTCAGCCTCCTCTGACACCACCATAGTGGGCAGGGGGAGGGGGGGAAGGTGAGATTGTCCACTCGACCTTGGTTGCTAGGGTAGGAGCACTGTGGGGCTTTTCCTGGTGTTTTGCTGGAATAGAATGATTATTGTTTAAAAGTTTCCACCTTGTTAGGTTGCCCTTTTCCTGGTCCAAAGACAGGAAGGCTATCTTGTTTTGTTTTGTTTTGTTAGTTTGTCTGTGCCCACGGCGTTTTTTCCCCCAGCTGCTCGCAGGAGATGCTGAGCTGTTATGTACTACCATCCAGGCTGGGATATAAGAGGCAAAAAGAAAACCCAAGGAATTCACTGCTGTGTCATTCCTTAAGTATTAGGATATTTGTTTCCAATTTCATCTTCTCTTCACATTTTGGAGCCTTTATTTTTGTTTCACAATATAATGTCCAGTGCTTTTAGCTGTATTTAGTGGAAGGGAGCAACAGAAATGTGTCTACTCCATCTTGTCCAGAACCAGAAGTCCCAATCGTCTGGTTTTGTTTTGTAATGTTTTAAACTATCCAGAATGTGGGGCAAACACAGGGCTCGTGTGACACTGATTCTGTCTCTCTCTGTGGTCCTCGTGATATACCTCACAGCCCTTCTGTGAGACAGCCTTTTCATCGCTCTGCAGAACATTTAATATCTGCACTTAGAGTTTTATACCAGCGACCAGATCCACTGCCCAGCCAGTGAGTAGGACTAAGTGGGCTCCCCAGGGTGATCCTTCCCAAGGTGTATCCTTCCCATCCTCAGAGCCAGAGGAAGCTCATTTATGAGGGGTTTTCCCCTGTTTCTTCTACTATCAATCAAAAAGTGCTTTTCTTTTTAAATGTTTGTGTTAATTTTAGTAAAGAGAAGCTAAGCTACCAGACTTTTCTTCAGCAAAACTCACAGGCATGATCCAATACACTACGATTGTTTACCCAACTGCCTGCCCAGGAGACTGTGGGCTCCTTTAGGCAAGAGACCATGTCTCATCAGTTGTTGAATCCCAGGGTTGAGTGCACTCAACAAAGGTAGCTAAAATGAATAAAGTAAAATAATTCCTTGTATGGATCTCAAATCTTCCTTGGCTTTTTGTTTCTTAAAGAAGTCTCAGAAATGGAAAAAGTTTTGGGGGCCTACCTGGAGAAGACCAGACATATTTATGCAGGGTTGCTGCATGCTGACTTCCAGGCAAGCACTGATATTCCAAGGACCTGACAGTAAGTATTCCTGAATCCATGTCCCCATTCCCGTATCTAAGCCCGATTTCCGCACATTTTCCGAACTCTTACTGTCTGTTCCCCATGGAGAGAGGATGCCTTTACCCTGGCAGCCCGAGGGGATGGAGGGGACGCAGCCAAGTTACCTGGCAAGCATCGTAGGTCTCATTCTCAAATCCAGCACACAGCATATTTTTGGTAAGTCTTGGAAATTCCTTTGAACACTTCTCCCAATCCACGATGGTCATGGGCACTTTCAGCAGCTCTGTTTCCATAGGCTGTTTGAGACCTGACCCATAGAGAAGGCCCTTTAGAAAGGTCACTGGACAGGAGCCCCAGTGCCGATAAGGCAGCTGACGTGCCCTAGGCCAACCTGCCCAGTGTCCCGCCGGCCACACATCCGCCTTTTTTTTCACATTTTCACAGACCCTCACTCTCCGTGTCCTTCCAGTAATCCCTCGCAATTTACTCGCTCCACCACCCCAGGCGCTTCCAAACAAGTCCCCACCTACTTGTATTATCCCTCCCATTCAAAATCATACTCCTGCCTCCAAGAAGACTTCCATCTTGGCTCCAACAGCGCTACAGACTTGACTTCTTAGAACTGGCTTTCGATCGGTTCTCAGCATAATCCTGCCTCTTCAGCATATTTGCCTCTCGTTACTTTCTGTTATGTGAGTGTGACACCTCTGATACAGGGCCGCTGAAACTGGGTTTGCACTCCCAGTGAAAAAAGCTTTCAGGTCCCCCAGACAAAGCTAGGTTGGTTGAGAGTTTTTACAGGGGGTTTGTCAAGGCCCTTCCTGGACTGCCAGCTTCCGGGAATTTGTTTGGACTTCTCTCCATCTCATTAACTCCTACCACATGGAGATTTCAAAAGACTTCTCCACACTGAGTGTTCTTAATCGTGCAGGCACCCATCTGCCTCTCCTCACTTCTAAATTCTGAGTCGTGCCCAGAGCCCTGAATCAGTGTTACACCAGTTGCCCTCTAGTTACCAAACTCCTGAAATACCTACCATCTCTTAGACCCCAGGTCATTGCAAAGCATCCCTAAGGACCTGAAGTCTTGTTCAGGCCTGAGCTAGCGCTGTGCTATTCCCGTCCCTCCCCTACCAATTTTGTTGAGTTTTCTTTGGGAACAGTCCAGCAGGGCTTTCATAATCCCTTTATTACCCTGGTCAGGTTCCTCTTATTTTGGCCAAGTAACAATGTAACAACAAGTAACAGCAACAGATTCATTTCTAAGAATGGCTGGGCAACACTCCAGGACCATCTAAAGTCTAGGCCAGGGCAGGCGTCTGGAATGCCTGTAGGAGCCAGGTGGGAAACATCAATGCGTGAATCAGGGAGATGTGAGAGAGCAGAGCAGAGAGTTCCTGGCCAACTGGAGGGTTTATATTCAATGAAACAAAAGAGACTGCCATGTGATGGCGGGACAGGACCACACCCAGGGATGGCCCACACCTGGCATCTCAGCTCGGGGCCTTGGGGGATGTTTCCTTCGCACTTGGAAGAGGCTGAGATCAGGCCTCTGTGCGTTCCTGGTGCTCAGGGATTTGCTCCAATGCAAGCCCCTCTCTCCTCCCTCCTTCCTCAGCCCTCTCCCCTTTCACCCTCTCCCCTCTCCTTTAGGTTTACTGGCCCATCCTCAGACGCCCGTGATGTGGCTCTTCCCCCAGGTGCTCCCAAGAGATGCTGAGCCGTTACTTACCAGTTTGGGTCTGCCCCCATCCTGCCACCCAGCATTTGTGCCACCTGGAGAGGCCGGGCTCTGTGGGCATGCAGATGGGTTCTTTCAGTTCGCTGAATGTGATGGGCGTGTCCAACAGCAGCAGGGAGATATCATTGTCCATGTTGAGTTTTTGAAAGTCCTTGTGCAGAATTATGCTTGTGACCCCCTTTATTTCCAGGGATGGGCTGCTTAAGCTATTCGTTCCCAGCACGACTCTCAGTTCTGTTGGCCTGGTGGCGGAGAAGCAGAGACGGAGAAATAGGAGGGGAAGGAAAGTCACAAGGTGCACAGAATCTGCTGTGCCTGAAAACCCTAAATCCCACATAGCTGTAGGGGCCTTTTGCATTTGTCCTACCGGGGCTGTTGCTCAGAAGATGTGAGCATTTGAAAAAGGTAGAGAAGGAGGGTGAAACAGCCACTGTGGCCGACCATAGCTCCATGGCTGCTCCAGAATCATCCCAGAGATGTGAATGAGATACTCCTGCCTCACGGGGCAAAGAAAGGACTTAGCTTTGGGCCCCCAAAGAGCCCATGAAAGACCACTTGGCACAGATCAAACTAGCCCTCAGATAGGAAGGGATTATCACAGCAATTTGTCCACCAGCAGTTTAGAGACTGAGGAACAGAATTTTTTTGTTTGCAACATACACAACTGACTAAACTTTAACATTCAGAACGTATAAAGACAGTCTACAAATTAAAAAAAAACTGTCAAAGCTCAAACAGACTTTACAAAAGAGAAAATATACCAATAAACTTGCAAATATCAACTTAGCAGTAGTAAGAAAAATGCAAATTAAGACTACAATTATAATAGTATTTCATGCTTTTCACCAGAAAAGCAAAAATTAAAAATTCTGAAAAAGTAGCAAGTATTGGTGATGATTTTAACACTTACACACCGCTGGCGGAAATTTAAATGCGTGCAACCACTTTGGAAAATCATTTGGATTTTCTAATAAACTTGGAGATGCACAAGACCTATGATTCTATATCTTCTCTCCTAGGAATAAATTCTTGCACATATGCACCTGAAGACCTATCCAAGAATCAGGAACAGAATTGAATCCAGACCTGCCATTGATGAAGCAGAAAGAAACTTCAGTAATGATTCAGGAATTTCCCTCCAGGCAGAATGGCCAGGAACTTTCCAACAGCCAGTCCTTAAGTATCCCATGGGAGTAGATGCAACAAGTTTCCTTGGTTACCCCAGGGTGAAACTTTCCCCAGGTTTTTGATGAACCCTTTAAAGTTCTTCTTTCTGTGTATCTTCAAACTTTCTCGAGGTGGTGGAGCGGAAAAGCACAAGTGCTGGAACCGGATTTAAATCCTGTTTCTGTCTACTAGGTGTGTACCTTGGGTGAGTCAGCTAAACTTATTGGACCTCAGTTTCCTTCTCTATAAAATCAGGATGTTCATTTTACCTGCCTCAGGGTTTCTGTAAGTTGGAATGAGTTAAAAGGGGATTATTCATTCTACCCGCCTCAGGGTTGTCTGTATGATTAAACAAGTTAATGCACGGAGTTTCTTAGCAGGTCACTGGCACGTGATGAGGAATCAGTAAATGCTCTGTTTTCCACCAGTCTCCTGGAGTGCAGAGAAAACTCTATAAGGAGGAGGGAAGTAGGTTGTCGGATGGCCCAGGAACCCAGACCTCCAGAATTAGGAGGATTTCCTCCTAGAAGGACTTGAATGTCCTGGCAGAGGGAGACAGACCAAGCCCTTCGGCTCCACCAAGACAGATGTCCCTGGAGAGGACAGTTTGTGACCTCAGGGAAGCCGCAGTTACTGGTTCTGGGTGACAACAAAGAAGGCACAGTGGATCCGGCCTTGGGTTCACAGCCTCTTCCTCCCTAGGGCGTGTGGGGCTTCCCCAGGGAGGGGAGCACATTGTCAGAAGCAAGGGGATGGACTCGGTACTTACGAGATCTCAGAGTGAAAGCAGTGAGCCGCCGAGACAATCCACCACTTGCTGATGATGGCGCCACCACAGAAGTGTTCATTTCTTGTTTGAATACTCACCTGCCATGGAAACTCACCCACCTCAGCCTCCATCCCTCCTATGATTCTGGAATACTGAGCTCCTCTCTCAAAAACGGGTCTTTCACCGCATTCTGGTAGAATGGAAGAGAAAGGAAGGGAAACGATGCAACACTTAGTCAGTATCCATAGAAGACCCATAAGTAGCTATCATTGTACCCATTCTAGAGATGGGGAAACTGAGGCTGGCCCAGTAAAGCACCCTTAGAAACATGAGTAAGCCAACAGATGCTTCATATCTGTTGGAACGTGTTTGGAAGCGTTGGCTCTGTCTCCTTTCCAGACAGGCAAGTCACTTTGCCGAGCTTGTTTCTGCCCTCATCTGAGAAAAATCAGAGGAAAATACTTGGCCAGGGCCAACCTGGAGTGACTGGCAGAATAATGCCTCTGTTGCCAAAAAATGTCCACGTCCTAATGGACCATGCCCTGGAATTCGTGAATATGTTACCTTATAAGGCAAAGGGGACATTGCAGATGGAATTAAGGTTGCTGATCAGCTGACCTTAAAATGGGGAGATTGTCCTGGATAATCTGAATGGACCCAATGTAATCACATGGGTCCTTAAAAGTGGTAGAGGGAAGCAGAAGAAGAGAGATGTGACTGCAGAAGAAAGGCACTGAGAGATGCAATATTGCTCGCTTTGAAGATGGAGGAAGGGGCCACAAGCCAAGGTATATGGATGATCTCTAGAAGCTGGAAAAGGCAAGTTAACAGACTCTTCCCTAGAGCTTCCGATAGGAACGCAGTCCTGCTGACACCCTGATCTTAGCCCAGGGAGACCCATGTGGGAGTTCTGTCCTACAGAACTGTAAGATAAGAAGTTTGTGTTGTTTAAGCCACTAAGTTTGTGCTAGTTTGTTACAGCAGCAAGAGGAAACTAATACATACAGGAAACCAGAAGGGTGACCTAGAGAGGGCCTGAACCTACAGGAAGCCCCAAGCTATTCTAGGTTAGAACATTCTGTTCCAGGCAGAGCAGCTCTGTTTCCTGGAAGGCTGAGAACAAAGGCTGCAGCTGCCTGTTTGGAAGAGAAATCTGCCTTCTGGAGCCAGTCCAGATCCAACCCCTCACCCAGAGGAGGAGGAGGAGACAGTATTTTCTGACTTGAATGTGGTCTTGTTCTGGAACAAAGAATGAGCTTGATTCTACAGAGCCCAAGACCCCCTCCGCTCTCTTTCTAGAGGCTACTTTTCCAAATATCCATTCAACAGAGGTTTTGAGGACTTTGTAGTATGTGTTGGAGGAACCCAGTGGTGGTTATTTTTAGTTTAAAAAAAAAAGGAGTGAAAATGTATCAATATGTGTCAATAGCCTTCAGCTGTCAGTAACATATAGAGGCTCTTTCCAGGACTTTTGGGTCTGCACTTCCTCCTTTATTTACCAAACACATATAGTCTTACCATGTGTCTGGGCACCATTATATGCTCTGGAGTCCCAAAGCCTGCGTCTGAATCCTGGCTCTGTTGCTTACCTGATGAATGATTTAGGGTAAATGACTTATTCTTGTTTATCATCCCTTTCTTTATTCCCCAAATAGGCAGAAGATAATACTTACGCTACAGAACAGATGCACAGACGTACAGAACAGATAACGGGTGTTGAGTGCCCAACACAGAGTAAACCCTCAAGCCACGTTAGCTGTCAGAATTTCTCATGTCACCTTGCACCAAGGGCCCCCTTTCCTTGGTCTTGAGAACAACCTACATCACCAGCGTGGAACCGTGCAGACATATAGCCTAACGCTGGAACACAAAGCCCTAAGCAGTGACGGAGGCAGTGCCAAAACGGTAAGCAGAGATGCGAGCCATCGGGGGCACCTGGACCTGCTTGCAGAGAGGCCAGCTTTGCCGATTCTCTGCCCACACCACGCACCAGCCCCCATTCACTCCGTGCAGCCAAGCCCGGGCCGGAATGAGGGAAGCCGGGGACATGGGCTGTGTTCTTTCCGTGAGGCCGAGGGCAGGGAGGGAAATGCGGGCCCTGGAGTCACACTGGGGCCACTCCTGGCTCTCCCATTTCCCTGCTGCGAGGCTCTGGACCAATCCTAAACTTCCCTGAGGCTCGGAGCTCCTTACCCACATGTGGGGCTAAGAGTGGAGAGCCCACTGGGGTAGTGTGGGCATCTAACGGGGGAAAGTACCTGACCATAACAGCTTCCTTTCCACTTCAGCCACCTGCCACCCCCCCGCCCCCCCAGAGAGAGAAACAACCTATCAGGAGCTGCGAGGAGCTGCCCGTGGAGCACAGCAGGCACCCCCGGCCCACCTCCACCCCACCTCTCCTGCACATGGGTGACCTGGGCATCTGCTCAGCATCTGAGTTCCAGGGCCGATGCTCAGCTCATTCTGGGCCCCTGCTTCTCAGCGCTCCACTATTCATTCAAGGATAAAGTCTCGGGTTTCAAACCCAAAACTTAAGGTCAGACAGGTTGAACTTGGGGCTGGGGCAGGAGAAGGGGCAAGGGAAGTGGTTTCCAGTAGGGGTGTAGGGGGAACAGGACGCCCCTGCTCCCGTGAACCGGCCTCTTAGTGGCCCATTAGCTGATTTGTGGGATCGTCCAGGCCTCTGTCCCTCGGCCCCTCAGGCTTAGCCCCGGCGGGATGGAAGGGAGAGAGCAGGGCCAGGGTCGCACCCAGCCCCACCTGGAGAGCCGCTCGGGCCCGGGCAGGTGTCCACTTACCCAGATGTGCGTCCCTGGCCTGGGGTATGTGCAGCAAAAGGGACCACAGGAGCATGGCCCTGGGCATGACTGCTGGCCTGGGAGGTGACGGAAGCCGGGGCGGAGGGGAATGACTCTGACGGGGCCTCCCCCTTACAGCCAGCCCTGCCGGTGATGTCACAATGGGCTGCGGGTCTGAGAACGCAGACTGTCATGCAGGCTTCTCTTCTGGCCGCTCTGTTCCCGAGATGGGCCTCACCCTGGACGCCCCCTGGGCTGAGTTTCCCTTCCTGACCTGGGCAAGGCCTGCCCTTCACGAGTCCTCAGCGGGCAACTTGCTGTGGGCCCCTCACAGCCCGTGCCTCTTAAGGCTCAGATGCCTCCTCTTCCACAGGGCCTGTTCCATCAGGGGTTCCCCGTGAATTGCGCAGAAGGCCTGCGCGAGGGGCTGCCGGCTGGGATCCTTGCGAACGGGGAGGTGGTCCAGGAGGCCCGGAGGCCTGCGCAGCCTGAACGGCCGTCGGGCCAGGTGCCAGGTTCTCTGCTCAGGCCTCTGATCTGGGTCACAGGCGCGGACCCGAAGGCTGGGTTCAGAGGCGCTGGCCTCCCCTGATACTCAGCCCAGAAGGCAACAATCCCTGCTCCCACCCTTTCTGGGTTTATTCCACGTGGCCCCCAAATCTCCAGATAGGCCCCTGTCCCTTTCTAAAGACGGAAAGTCCCCTGCATCGGCAGGCGGACTCTCAACCATTGCGCCACCAGGGAAGCCCCACTGGCGGCTTTCTTTGCTCGGCTTCTGGGGGTGGGGTGTGGAGGGGAGGGGAAGCCTGGGCCCCATGTCTGATTGGGAGAATAGAGGATGACTGACGGGCACATCCACCCTAAACTGCTGCCCATTTTCTATGAAAGTATCTGGACAGAATCACAGCTCATCTCTAGGAAGATGCGTTCCTCCTGGGTCTGTGTCCTTCCTATTGACATGACGTGAGCCCTGTCTATTGCAAAGCACTCATTCGCTGCCCCACATTTTTTGGCCAAGCTTCTTCACGATAACAGTGGATCACACCATGTCTGAGCTGGTGGAGGGACTGACCAGCGGGGCCAGAGCCACCGTGCACAGCGCCAGAGGCCGCCATTCCTGTAGACTCCAATGGGAATGGCTCCCCCTAGAATTGGGCAAACATGGCCCGAGTATGGAGAGAAACTTTAGGAATGTAAGAAGTCTATAGAAATCCGAAGAGGAAAGCAGGTACATGGTGACATAGGTTGCATAGGGACACTGCCTGCCTGACGCTCCAGAGTTTCCCAGGGTGGCTTTATCGAGGTGACCTTATTTTCCACAGTCCTGGCCAGCAGAGCTCTACCTTTGGTGTGGAGCCCAGGAAGCTTGTTTGGTACAGATTCGGGTTGCCAGATTTAGCAAATAAAAATACAGGCTGCCTGGGACCTCCCTGGTGGTGCAGTGGTTAAGACTCTGAGCTCCCAATGCCAGGAGCCCGGGTTCGATCCCTGGTCAGGGAACTCGATCCTACATGCATGCCGCAGCTAAGGAGCCCGTGTGCCACAAATAAGGAGTCCGCCTGCTGCAACTAAGACCCAGCGCAACCAAATAAGTAATAAATATTTTTAAAACAAGAGTTAAAAAAATACAGGTTGCCCAACTGATTTTGAATTTCAGATAAAGAACAAATATTTTTAGTACACATGTACCCCACGCAATGTTTGAGACATTCTTATACTAAAACAAAATTCATTGTTTACCTGGAATTCAAGTGTACCTGGCATCCTGTATTTTAGCTGGCGACCCCAGTGTTGATTTCCAGACTTCACCCTTCAGACTCTGATCCAGTGGATGGGGGAAGGCAGGGAGCCAGGTCTCAGCACTTTAACAGCTGCTTCCAGATTATACCAGGACAGATCCTTCTGGAGCACCTGGAGAAATGTCACTCAGGCCAAAGGTAGAGGGCTTCCTGGGACCCCTGGCAAGCTGGGGACTGGAGTCTGACTCAACCTAGGAAATCTGGAGGCAAGAGAATGGCCGGCCATCTGCTTAGGTTCTGGGAAGGGTGCTGCTGTGGGGAGGCGGCCCTGAACCCCCAGAGTTTGTGCCTTTGGGCTGCACAGGGGACAGAGTGCTGCGGGGGGTCCTGAGGAGCCCTGCCATTGGGCGTGCTGCAGGGGGCAGAGAGACCTCGGAAGAAAGAGGCTGGGGATGTGTGCCGAAAGGCCTGGGGAGTGCAGAAGACAGGGGCCAGCAGGCAGAGCCCCTGAAAACACCGTGCAAAGAGTCCGCTGGAAATGCCTTCCAGGCCCCGAGGACAGAAAGCTGATGTCTGGGCTAGCTCCCCTTTCCCTGCACCTGTTACTGAGTCCAAGCTCGCTCTACTCACTGCACGAATGGCCAATAAATCGG